TAGCTATATATGTAATTCACTCCTATATATATCAATAATTTCCCTCTATCTCTATTAATTGAACTAGTTTTACTTATTTTTTTCTTATTTTAGTCCTATTTCTTCTTGGGTTAACAATACTGTTTGTGAAAGTAATGAAATTACATTTGCTTTAATTGTTATTCAGATTTCTCCACTAGGCCAACCTTTACCCATACTACTTTGCTCTCTAAATTTGAGATTAAATGTAGATTAGTACTGTTGCCTAACTTTCCAAATCATTTTTTTTAATGATTGGGGTGACTTAGATGATACCAGCAGAACTCTTAATTGAATGTCAAGGAATGCAGCTCCTATTGGCAAGAGAACCTCTAGCTTCCTTGAGAAGCATTCAATTAGATGGAAAACAGATGCTTATTTTTATCTTAAAAACCTCAATGCAGGTTATGTGGTAATTACTTCAAAGAGCAGGATAACAATTTATGTAATCAGCAGGACCCTATAATTACTAATGCATAATTTCTAAACAGCATTTAGCAAAATGAGGCCCATACATACACTTTGTAATAAAAAAGATGTGTTTGACACCACACTAAATTAAATTAAAATTAGCATATTTTCTTCCAGGACATATACTAGCTTCATCTGCTTTATTTTGCTTCACTAATTTCTGTCTACTTCTCGCTCTATTATAGGATTATGGAAATGCTGAATCACAATGATAGCTGAACAAGGGCATAGGAACCAGAAATAGAGAAAGGCTGCCTCCCCTGCTGTCCAGGACATTATAAGACCCCCTAAGACCATGGTCGGCAAACCGCAGCTCACGAGCCACATGCGGCTCTTTGGCCCCTTGAGTGTGGCTCTTCCACAAAATACCACATGCGGGCGCGCACGTACAGTGCGATTAAAACTGGGTGGCCCATGCGCAGAAGTCAGTGTTTTGTGGAAGAGCCAGTATTTTGTGGAAGAACCACACTCAAGGGGCCAAAGAGCCGCATGTGGCTCTCGAGCCTTGGTTTGCCGAGCCGCAGTTTGCCGACCACTGACCTAAGAGATGACCCCAAAGTTATATCTAGATAACTTGTTTCACCTGAGAGTTTCACATGAAGGTCACATAATCACTTAATTTAGGATATAAGTTCTGGCAGATAACTTAAAAAATTACTTGTTCTTATCTCTTTATAACATGTAAAAACTGAGGCCCAGTGACGTGATATGACGTGTACAACATTAAGCAGTTGGCAGAAGTAAGAACGTATTCCCTCCGTTAGTCCCAGTCCTATGTGAAATCCATTCCACTATCCTGGTCGCCTCACACAGAGTTAATGGTAGACAAGCCCCACTGATACTGAACATTTCTGTAGTAAATATTTTGAAATTTACTTGTACATTTGCATTGCTAGTGAGAGTTTAATAGTAGCAGGTAGAACATGCAGTGGTAGTAGATAGTAGTCGTAACACATGTGGCATCTCCTTGACAATGAGTAAGTTCTACATTTTAAGGAAGTTGAATAGCAGTTACTTACATTCTCTGAAAAGACCATTGATGAAATTGCACACCTTGACGAATTCTTACCTTTAGCTCCTGAAGTCAGGTCAGGGTGATCACCAATCTCCTCTTCAAAGCTCTGGACCTGAGACACCAGAATGCATCAATCTCATTATCTTGTTCCCCAGATACCCCAACCTGTCTCTATAGTGACAGAGAAGTGTATCAGTAACCTGTCACTGTCTTGGTTTCTGTGCCCATCCCTGCACTGTGGTTCCCTTTAGGGCGGAGTTTGTTCCCCGGAGCTTATCAGAGTGCATGCCTCACAGCAGATGGCTCAAAGGAGAGGTGGCCAACCTTGGGATTTACAAGTAAATATCCTCCTCCACTACTGGATAATTTGACATGAAAAGAGGGGTGGGACATGCTCTTCTGTACTTTCTTTGTAATTATATTAAAGAATAGAGAAAATAATGAAAATGTGTATATACATATTTTTTAAGAGACTGAGAAGTGCAGGTAGCCATGCCATCTAAATAGGGTGAAAATTAGCATGAATGTATGAAGGTGGGAGGAAAAAGCAAAGGAGATATGTGAAATGGGAGTCAAGCTATGTGACTGTCAATAAATCCCAAAGCGAACTAACAAAATACTGATCCCATAAAAATAAAAAACAAACCCATCTTGCTTCTTTGTCTAAGGCCCTGCATTAGTCATCTTTGGGGAAATATTTCAAAGACACATCCCCTCGATGACAAAATCTGGTCCTCTAGGAACTGGTGCGGTGGTGGGGGGTGGGGGGGCAGACGTCCTTGACACACACACACACACACACACACACACACAATCTCTACCTCAACAAGCTCTCCCTGCCGAGGCTATGAGAATACAGAGGAGGAATTTCACTGAGTGGGAAGTAGTTGAACGGACCCCCGAAGAAGATGAAATGTGGAAAGAGTAGAGAAAACCATCCTGAGATGCATAATAAAACAGTGAGCAACAGTGAGAAATGACCTGTGGATTCAACTGAGAACAAGGACCAGAAAAGGGATGGGAGAAACCAACGGCTGGTTTCATATCATTTAGTTCTGACTGAAGCAACCAGAATGACCTTAAATGTCCCAGAGTAAACAGGAGTTTGGAACATAAGACCTAATGCCGCGGGGCTGACAGATGAAGGGGTTAAATGAGGGCTGAAAGGCAAAAGGTGCCTTGATGAGGGTTATCTCCCTTAGAAGTTGAGCGCAAAGTACAGACAACACTGACCTCTTCCATTTCGAAGGAGTCTGGTGCCTTCCTCACCCCAGATAAGCTCTTGAGCTTGTTAGTCTGAATCACATTTTCTTTCCGAGTTCTGTCCTTGACTGACCCCTCAGACACATAGGAAGGAGGAGTCTGCTTGGCTAGCTTGGGTGAGTAAGGCCAGCGCCTTTTCAGAAGAGCTCTGGGAGGACGACAAGGTATCAAGTCATCACAGGCTTGGAGAGACCAATGCTCGGCCGAAGGAGATAAATGACTTTGGTCAAGGTTGTCTGTCACAGCTGGTGATTCTATTGCACATCCCCCTGGTCCTGCACAGGTGCTGGAAAAATGTTCTCTCTTCTTCAGAGACCCTGACACTTCTGAACTACCGTCGCTCCTGATCTGCTTCGAGGCTCTCCTGAAAAGTTCCCCCTCTCTTCCTGGATGTCCTTCGGCTCCACTCACTGAAGTTCTTTGCATATTTTCCTCTTCGTCTTTCTCTTCAGCTTTGCTCTGCCAGGTGCTAACATCATTCAGCAAAGATGAGAAGGCATTGGCCACCTGACCCAGGATTTCCAGCTGTCGGAAACGGCCTGAACGATATAGAAAGCACAATTTTTAGGCTGGGTTTTTGTAATGAAACTGCATTGAAGTTGTCAGAAATGGAGAGGTTGGTTAACACATGTGATTTTTCAAGATGAGAAGGATTTGAAGCTCCAGAAACTCATTTTTTTCTCTGTACATGCTACTAATTATTATGAAGGTGACTCCTCTATATAAAGTTATGGGGGAAGTGAATACCTTTTGTTATTAGTTGTACACGCATACTAGATAGATTCATATATGCCAATAATTAATGGTGTGTTAATCCATAACATCGACAGGCAAAGATGTATCTTGAGTTCAATCTTGTGAATTAAACTAAATTGTCAAAAAGTAAACCCAGCTCTTTCATACAAGATGAACTTGAGTTTCTCCCACTGCTTTAGGCAGTAGATATCCTCATCCTCTCCTCCATCCTCTCCATCTATTGCCACCTGAGAGTATGGAAAAATCATGGTGCGTGGAGTCAAAAGGCCTGGATCCAAATTCCAGGTCCACCTTTTCTCCGTCATTACAACTAGTGATCTTCCAGGTGGGCCAAGTTCGTGAATAAAGACAACATGGAACATATTTCCCTTCCCCCAACATATGCACCACCCCGCAGTGGACATGTAGAGGGATACAGATATAAGCTGTTCTGTTTCAGCTATGACAGGAGGGGTGGATTGCCACTGTACACATCTCCCAGACCATCTCTCCTCATACTGTGGCTCACCTCCCCGCTCACTGTGTAACTGCAGAACCAGCTCAAACTGATCTTATTTTAACAAGATACTGGGATGTTTTTCAGGGACAACTGAACAAAACCGCATTTGGTCAAAGCATGTGCAGAGGAGAGGATTTTGACCAAAGTCTCTCCACCCCACGGAACAAAACTGGAACCTGAACACCAGAATCCTTTCAGAAGTGAAGGGTCTGCTGTCCAGGGAGGTTGGGTGCTGAAGCCTTTACCATATTTTACAATGACCAGCCAAGCTCCAAGGCCCTCCAGTTGAAACTTGCCCCTGCCCCTTCCCTCTCCCCACCCCCCACCCCCAGTGATTTTGCATGCCAGCAGGTTTCCCTGAACCCTGTTAATCTCTCTTTGAACCCTGGATCAGAAGACAGATTTGAGCTCTGCCTCTTATCTTCTTGCTGGTTGATCTTACAATAAAGATTTTTTTTCTTAAAAGCCAGTGCCATAGTATTGGCTTCTATGTGCACTGGGCAGCGAGCCCTTGCTCTGTAACAATTGCCGTCGGTAGGACTTGGATGCCATGTGGTCCTCACTTACCATACAAGTTAGGGTTCTCAATGTCCATTCGCTGCTTTTGAGCTTCAAGAAAAACATGGATATTGATCCCTGTGGCTGCTGAGTCACAACCCAGGAATCTGGCTGGAATTTGTGTGCAGATGTCTGGCTCGTCAGCACCAAACCCCAGATCCAACAGAATGTCCACTGGATCTTTTTCCCCAAATTCCAGCCACTCAGGAATGCTGCAGTAAAAAATATGAATGTCTTTATGCTGTAACATACATGCTTTATAGTTTTCACATTTGTTTTATAGATAGTAACATACTCTATGTATCTTTTGGCATCATGCCTTTTTTCTACTAAAATATGAATTGAAGATCTTAAGTTAGTATATATACACAACTACCTACTCCTTTTGTCACTGTACAGATTTCCATAAAATGGGAGCCAATAACTTATATGACCACTTCTCCATTGACAGATATTTAGCCTATTTCACTGACCCTTTTATACTCCTCTTGCAAGTTGGGGTTTAGAAATCCTCACTCATTCTCTCCTCCACCCGTTCATGAATTTCTCAAGTGCCTACTTATCGATTCCTGAAATCCACTGTTGCCTGGGGTGATTTTCCTGGATGTGAAGTGCCTGGAAACCACATACCTTTGTGGTATACTCACAGCAGAATGGCACGAGTTGAAGCTGGTCCCTCTGGATAGGGTGGGAGTTTCTGAACATTGGTGCAGAGATCTAGGGCAAGAGGGTAGCAACGATGAGATGGGTCCCTTTAGATCATCCCCCTGGGGGGGGGGCATTGAGAGCCTTTCCCTTCCAGAGCACACATTTGCATTTCCTGGTCATTCCTAATAACCCCACAGGGGCCATGCCTTTGAAGAAGGAGTGCAGCGGCGGCGGAGGGGAGTGCTGTCTACAGAAGGTGTGGGGATTTAAGTGTCAGGTGCCCACAAGTGCTCATTATGAAGGTGACAGAATGTCTCACTTTTGACAGATGGCAAATCACTGGGGAACCTTTCAGGAATGATCCCTGCTAGGCTCTGACTTTCTCGAGGAAGTTAAAATTTTGTTATGAAAGAGGTAGAGGCAGCAGCCACTGAAGCGACTCAACATTCATTCTCACCATGAAGGACTTCCTAGGGCATGGTTAGTGTTCTCTGAGTGCTGTCTCTAGGCTCAGGGCCAACCACACGCAACAGTAACACTCTCCTTTATGGCCTCAAAAACCAGCATCCCTCTATCCAAAGAGACCTGCACTGCAGGTCATTTGAAAGCATTTGCAGCCTGGCCGGTGTGGCTCAGTGGTTGAGCATGCCCCAGGAGGTCACTGGTTCGATTCCTGGTCAGGGCACATGCCCAGGTTGTGGGCTCAATCCCCAGCAGGGGCTGTGCAGGAGGCAGCTGATTAATGTTGATGTTTCTCTCTGATCAATGTTTCTATCTCTCTTTCCCTCTCCCTTCCTAGCTAAAATCAATGAAAACATATTTTAAAAAGAAAGCATTTCCAAACAGAATGGAACCCTGTCATAATGTAGTTGACTTGTAGATACCTCATCTAAATTACAGCTGCAACTAGTCTCATCAAATACAACAGCCAGTTGGCATAAAATTGAAATTTATCAAAGAATACAATGTAGATAACAGTTTTCCCAAGGAGACCAAGGTATCCTGTGTGCACAGCTGAATTTGCCTTAATCCTGTCCATTATTAGTAAGAATCGGTGAGCCCTGCCTCTTTGTTCAATTGCTTCTCTTGACCTATAAAAGCTCATAGTCTAGTTCAGTGGTCCTTAAACCAGAGCGTGCCCAGGACTATGTGAAGACCTTACAAAAACACGATTTCTGAACTCTACCCTTAGGTTTTCCTATTCAAAGTGTCTGGGTTGGGGATCAAAAATCTGTCCTATTAAGTTCTCAGGTGATGTGGATGCTGCTGCTTGGGGTCACTTTCACTGCTTTCCACCTAACATTGGAAATTATAAGATTTAAATTATAGCATGATGGTCAATAATATTGGCAATATGAACTATGAATATAACTGTTTTATGAACAGGTCCTGTAAACAGCTGAATTATAGTAGAATGCCATTTCTGCATGTTTTAATTAAATCCCCCCAAGTCAGAATTTGTTGATATAATTTGCTCACTCCTTCATGACATTTTAAGAACCTGTACTTCTCTCAAGGCTCCCAAAAACATTGCAGCACCGGGGCTCAACCAGTGACAAGATCCCAGGATCCATGTCATTATTAAGAACCATCCTCACTGTACTTCCGTCATGAGAGACGTGGCCGTAAAATACTGGACGGAAGCAACACTGATTCTGCCACCTACCTCAGGTAGTCTTTCACAGTCATTTGAACCATTCCTTGTTCATGCGAGAAAACTGCAACAAAAAAGGGGGAGATGAACTTAATTTCCTTTCATCTCATGGGAGATTTTCTCATCCTCAAAGGAACCAACGTGTGACTGATTGCCATGTCTGAGATTGTATGGGCATGAGATACAAGGCGTCTCTGTCGTGAACAAGACAGAACGTAATTAATGGCTAAATGGTGTGACAGGCACCTGAAGATGTGTACTTGCTCAGTGAAAGCGAGGTCAGTGGCACGTGAAGTAGTCAGCAGTGACTACCTGGAAAGAAGCAGTACTTGTCTCGAGTTTTTAAGAATAAGGAGAAATGACCCAGCTGGTGTGGTTCAGTGGGTGAGTGTCAACTTAGGAACCAGGAGATCAAAGTTCGATTTCCGGTTGGGGCACATGCCCAGGATTTGGGCTCAGTCCCCAGTGGGGGGCATGCAGAAGGCAGCCAATTGATGTTTCTATCTCTCTCTTCTTCTCTGTAATCAATAAAAAAAGTATTTTTTAAAAAGGAAAATATATAAAGAAAAAAAGGGGGGGGAGAATCACCTGCTCATTAAAAAAAAAATAGGAGAATTTGATTGTTTGAAAAGTGGTGTTGCTGTGAAAGAAGAGCATCTGGAGCAAGGGCACAGCTCAGTGACAGGGTCGGTCAGGTTAGATCAAATGGCATTTTGGAATACAGAACTACAACTTAAAGAGGAGGTGAGAGAAGAGATAAAATAAATGTCTGCCCTACAAAGCAAATGGAACTCTGTCAGCACAAGAATCATATGGGGTGAAGAATATAAATCTATGATAAAGGTTTAAAAATAGAGTAGGGATGTATATGGCCACTGTGCTACCCACTCCAGCTCCTGCTCCCATAGCAGACATCACCAGTCAATCACATCACTTTCTCATAGAGCCTAGGTAGGCTCTTAAATTCACCAGGAAAGCCACAACTGATCAAATGAGATGAAGCTTATTTGATATCCTTTGTTTGCAATAAATTTTATGAGTGGGTTTTGACAAAAACAGTGATTTCGGGGTACATATCTGAACTTTCAGAAATTGCTAAACTTAAAGAGAATACATAACTGCTCATAAAACATCCTGGGGAGCCACTGCCAAGGATGGCATATTGAGGCAAGTGATCATTATTATGATACAACTATGACATTTTTCAGATGTCCTATGTGACATCTGGTGACAGATATAAGTCAAAATATCTGATTCAAACCTATGTACCAAGTTAAGAATGAACTTAGAATCAAAACTCCAGTCTTTTTTGCCCATTACATCAGTGGTTTTGAAACTTTGGGTTTTAGCAGAGATTCTTCTGCAAGATTCTAATAAAGGGTGTCCCAAAATTCACGCAAGAAGTAATTTTGATAGAAAACACAGGGTTATAATTAAAAATTGTAAAGTTTTATTGACTCATAATGTATACAGTATAGGGTTATGTATGGAATAGCATATCGGGTAAATGGCCTCCACGACTTTGCTGGCACATACGCACTCTTTTGTTATTGCCTGAG